GAACAGAAAGAAAAAATTAAGTACTTGTAGTTTGAACAAAACTTGTAGGTTGAGCAAATCTGGGCAAAATATATAGGAACCTCACTCAACCTGCACGTTGCCTTTATAAACATCTGGACAGACAATGGCTGTAGCCACTGCCAAACAGCTGTGACCAAACTACACAGACAAACACTTAAAAACAGGCAAGTGTAATGTTTTACATAACCTTGGAGGGCACATCTAACAAGTATGCACATGCCCTGTTTAGGACAAATTTGTCGAGGATGAGTGCATTCCTGGTGTCTGCATATATCCATGACTCACAGGCATAAATGTCCAGGGACCCCTAAAAGGTTTGCTGGAGGCCTCTAAAAAAAAAGTTCATGGAATGTTTTCTGATTCCAGAAGTTAAACTTGTACAAGCACTAAGTTTCAACACAACAAAAATATGAAGTAGACCGCTGGACTTAAGCATCAAACCCCAAAGGTTTCTGACGAAGGAGATTTCATCAACAGTGTTTTGTTCAACTGGACTCAGACTCAAGAGCTAGCCTTCTGCTGCTGGGGACATCATGAACCAGTGAGGGAAGTATCAGCTCTTCACTCAGAGGATGTCAGGGGGTATTGCTGGTGTTCAGCTGCTGCTTATAAAATCAGCTGAAATTAGACGCAAAGGAATTTGAGCCCTGCTATTTCAGTTTAAGTTACTACCAGATATTCTACCACCTAGAGGCCTTATATGCATCTCACCACAATTAGATTTAAATGCACACACATATACACATTCTCCTTCATCTTCCCAACTGTTAATATTTTCTCTACTTTACAGATAAGGCTCAAAAAGCCAGCTTTAGTTAGTTAGCGTCTCAGAGCAAGGGAGTCATGGAGCAAAATGGAAATCCAGGGCTGCGACCTCCAGACCCTCTGCTCTTCCCTTTACCACACCATCCTGCACTGGCAGAGAAGGACCGTTCAATGGCCAAAGGTTGTGTGTATCCAACTGGACAAAGTCTGTGACAACCGGCTTTTAGCCTTGACGTGTTTGAACATTGATTTTGGAAAATTATTCTGACATATGCATTAGACTTACTTCCTCATTCAAGCCACATTCAAATCCATGCAACAACCAGCGTTATGTGACATTATAACAGCGTTCTTATTAATACTTCTCACAGAAAATTTACTGTAAACGAATTTGACATTCACATAGATAATTATAAAGTCAGGCACCCCTGAGAGTTACTTTTCTTCATTTTTTGACATCTTTTATGAGCATATGCCCATCCAAGGAGACACCCATAACATACTGTTATGTTCCATGGCATTCCAGTTCACTTTAAGTGGGAAACAAAGTCCTGTAAACAATGACTGTCTGGAGGACTGTGTGCAGGTTGCTCTGCCTTCCTGGGACTCAGCTTCCTCGTCTATAAATGAAGGCCATAAGTGCAGGACATTCAATCTCCCTCTTAGTCTAATCTTCAAGCACTCAAAATACAATTCCAGGAATTAAAAAGTTCCTCCTGAAATTGAAAAAAAAATTCAAGGCAGATGGAGCCTGAGCAGAAGCTCCCAGGGGTCCTGAGAAAGTAAAGCTGTGGGCCTCAGTGCCACCCACTGCTGACCACAACCAGGCCAGCAAAAGAGCTGCTGTGGGCCAGCCCGACTCTCCTCTGCCTCCTCCCACCCCACAATATCTTAGAATGTACTTAAAAAAAATTTTTTTTTTCCTTTTTTTTTTTGTCTTTTTCCGTGTCCGGCAATGGATCGCAACCCTCAGTGTCGCCCC